ACATTCGGAATTAATGTATTTAATCATCGAATCTCCTATAACCACAACCTGAAAAAATGTATTTCTCAATAATCGTATAATGTAAAGCTCCCACAAACATAAATGAAAGTAAGATTGAAAGTTGTAATGCTTGTACATCTGTTGGGGTTTACTGTACAAAAATTTAGAAAATGCGTCTAGACATGTACATTTAAATAGTAAAAGCATAACATTTAATTACTCACGTTCTTATCCGTATAGACGAACTCCTCAGGAGAGGATCTGGCGGTGTTGCACTTAAACTGTGCGGGTCCCGGGTTAGTTTCCACATCGCCCGATAGTATTAGGCACATCCTGGACCAAACAACAGAGGGAGACAAATCACCAGCTATGGCGTTTACGACCAGTTGAAGAACGAGGATGGCGGGACTAGATGGCAGTAGGCCAGCAACATCGAGGTTCTGTAACTGAGCGCTAACAGCTTCAACTGTAGATGTCAAATAAATCAATTGAGCCAAAACCAGATTATAAATTAAATTCAATGTTGACATGATGTTAACGTTGCAACAACTTAGATAAATAAACTCCAAATAAAATTCAACACTCAACACCGCTCCTGAAGCCAAAACCAAGGTGTTCTGTGGTTGAAGGGCGACCACGAAAAGCTGTTGAGGGTCCATTAGAACCGTCCACAGACTGGGTGTAGAGAGCAGACGACCTATAAATATGTTAGCTCTTTATTATACAATGATATCTTCAACAACCAATCTAATCGAGCACAGAAAAGCTCAAGGAAACGAAACTTCAGGTAGCAGACGTGCAATTTCAACTTTAAACGAACTCACCATAACCGACGAGAACTCCAGTGTTCATCGACGACGCAAACATCAGCACAACCAGGACAGAAGTAGCCGCTAAAGCTCCCCGCACGAAGAATGTTCTCGTGAAGGTGTAGAATGAGCTGACACCGTAGTCAGAGTGCTTGTAAACGAACGTCAGTCGATTGAATAATAACCAAATGTGTACATTATGACAAAAGTAATATTGCACATTAACCAAACTCCTCGAGGTGAAATCTATTAATTAAGATTAAAGGTTCGTAAATTGCAATTGAAAAGAATGGAAACGTAACTTTAAGTGTAATAAGCAGAAAGACTGAATTTTGTCGCGCGATCATTTATCTACATTAACGTGACGTCACGCGAGGCAGAGTCCTAAGTAGACCCCTCGTCTGTAGGAAGCACAATGCATCAGTGATTAATTTTTGTGCGCGCGCGCAGCTTTTCCGTTGACATGGTTACTAACGGAAGGACTGACGACATATTCATACCTACCTACCGCAATCTCCAAAATCCGCGTTTTTCTGCAAAAACCTCCATTCGTAACCATCCACTTTATATTTTTTCAAAATGGTGGATGGAAAAAATCCTATCTTTTGCAACCGGCTTGTGTTTGTGGAGCCAGCTCACATAGTCTTCAACATCTTTGTTGACGATGCTGATTCTCTCGGTGAGGACTTTATCGTTGCTCGATGGAATCAGTCCTGAGAAGCATATTAGGGCTTTGGTTGTGTTCATCAGGTGCTCGGAAAACTCCTCAACGATACTCACGAGACCAGATTTCTTTTTGAGAAGGTCATTTATCCCCGTGTGAACATATATGCATTCGGGCTTGAGTCGTTTGATGGTGCTGTTCAATAGCTTTGTTTTTTTAGTCGTATCCTCATAGCTGTCAAACTTGAGGCAGTGTACATTGAATTGACTATTGAACAGTTTATATAGGGTTGAAGTGATCAAAGTTACTATCGTGGATCAGAAGAAAGTGTGCTGTCTGTAACTTTCCCTTATTCGCCTGGAAGATTTGTTTCTACTCTCCTTGGCTTCACGACTCGGTTGATTAGGTTGTGCCTCGCATGCGGTGGTCTCTGAATGTTTTGACTCACTGCGGTTGTCCTGTCTGGTTGCTGGTACAGGTAGATTCTCTTTGTGGTTTTTGCTGTTCTTCTTGTTCGATGTAGTGAACGTCTCGGAGCCTCCATTCTCAACGATCCCGGACCACAGGATACCCTGTTCGCTTTCCCTGTTCGTATCATCGACAGAGGCCGGTGTGTCGCGCCGGGCGGGCTTGTGGTTCGTCGGAGGCTGTGGTGAACTGATAATAGCCTGCGTCAGACTCTCATGGTTTACTTCAAGTGCCTCGATTCTGGTCCTATTTGAGGAACTTACCGTTTCAAATGACTGAAAGGCTAGATTGAGCTCTTGGGGGCCGGATCAGTTTTCTGACCCAAAGTCTCCCAGTGCATACCAGTACCACAGCTCCACAGCCACAACACACATCATCACTCGATTGGCTTGTCTTTTGAATGAATTGTCCCCGATCGTATGAAATGCAGTTTATCCGGTTCCAGTTCTCTTTTCTTCACCAGTTCATGAACCAGGAGCCTGTCCTGAGGTCGCTCTTCTTCGGAGAGATCTGGTCTCACATACACTTTGTTGAAAGTCGCTGAGTGGCGCAGCTTCTTGACTTGACATAGCACTTGATGGACAGCGCTGTGACTTGATAACGAAACCTTGACTGGGCCGTCGGCTTCGAATTCTCTTTTAACGAATCTTTCGCTACTCTGGTAGCCTGCAGAGTAGGTTTTACGATTAGTCTTCCGGAATACCTCCTGTACCCGCTCTAGCTCTTCGACATTCTCGTCCTTTTGTTCTGACAGTCCAAATAATACAACGTTCCTGCTCCGATCCTCCTTCTGGACGACGGACTTGACCAATTTCTTCAGAGTAGCCGGATCTGCCTAACTATCAGTCTGGTAGACCATAACGTTCGGATGATGATTAATCACTCTACACTCGACTGTCACGTGACTTTTTCAACCCATTCTCTAGCTGGTCCTGAACAACTATTCGAAACCCTGACCCTCTAATCTGATCCCAACCCTAACCCTAACCCAATCCTTAGCAAAAGCATATGCTGAAACCCTAGCCCTAACGAGAAATTATACTAACTTCCTTATACGGTCAAATCACGTGATCGAGACAGTTTTTCGCCAATATCTCGTCAGGGGAGCATTTTACCCCTTATGTCATGGGGGTGATTCGGAATCAGCGTCCGAAAATACATCGATTGAAGTTGATTACAACTGTTGGGGGCCCTTTTAGAACAATCTCGAAGAAGGAAGATCGACTGTGGAGTGATTTAGCACGCTCGATAACGTTCTCCGCAGCAGCTTCACTGTATGACTTGAACTGTTCTTTCAAGTTGCTCTCCACTGAAGACTTGACCACAGTTTTTACTGCGTCGAGCTGTTTGTCCTTGTTGTCGATAATCTGCTCCTGTAAGCTGATTACCCACGTCTAGGATTCTCGATTAGCTGGCTCTTGATGGAGCTCAGCTCAGCCTTCAGCTGTTTCACTTTTTCCGCCTGAAACCGCACAAAGTGGAACGATTCAGAAAACAGTAATGCCAAAGTGTCCTTCATCGCACGTTTACACACTGCTGACGTCACGTCAACTGGAGCAGTGCACCCGACTTGTTCCATCGCTTTAGGTATCCAAGCAGAACATTTCCCGAGCAGATCCTCCAACTCCTTGTCGTTAACAGTTATAGCCATCATGGCTTATAGTTATACGCTACAAGCATGAAGCACACACAGTAATCTCGCCGTTAAACTAGGCGAGCTAAGCAAGCTGATAAGAGACAACAAAATTACAAACGAATGCAATTTGTGTGGCGTGAACTATGAAAATTTATAGACACAAATTTGACAGATTGGATGGACTTTTTGCCCAGAGACCAATTATTCAGTTAATTGATGTTATGAAACCAAATTGAGGTACTGAAAGTCGATTTCCCGAAGAAAATTGAAAAATCATGTTGTTCCATTTTCAGTTTTTGAAGATTTCTAGGAGTTTCCGGAGTTACCAATGACCATACCCAATATAACTTGGAGACAAAAAGATAACAACAATACTTGATCCTCTGATGAAATGACCCATATGCCAGTTCCAACACATCACTTATATTTATAGGGATATATGTGAGTGTTCAGTGTAACTGTTAACTGTTATACCAAGATGCAGCCAACTTTGGCCAATGTTAGTTCACCTGTATGTGTTTGTGACAATAAGAGATCGTTCACATTTTAGTTTTTACATAGCCCAAGTTTCTGTCAGTGCCCATATGTGGATACATGATCACTGATCAGTTCAATGCTATTACAATCGAATAACGAGTGTTAAAAACAGCGGTTCAGATTAATTTTCAATTTATAGAGCTGTTAACACAGAGCGATAAAGAGGAATAATCAGGTGATTTTGTCGCTCAATCTGCTGATTTTCAATTCTCACAGCGAGAAGTTTTAACCGGTCAATCTTTGTATGATCCTGTAATGCTTTAAATAATAGATGCTTGTGGTTACTTATAAAAATGCATCGTTATCGAAATTCCGATCAAATTGTGGTGTTTTTTGACATGTAACTAGCCATTAGCTAGCCGGGTTTGCTGTGTGAAATTGTGCTCTTTTAACAGAAGACAATATCTAAAATATCGTTCGATTATGCTGCGCGCGCGCGCGCGGTATAGCGTTTTTCTTGCGCCAAGATATCATTATTATATGTGTTCGCGGTTTCCAAACATGACAGTTTTAAAATGTGTTTCAATGCTTTCCTGAAGAGTAATCGATGAAAAAAAACTGTGTTGTTGATAACTGCATATGCTTTGGCCAGGAATTTGGATAAGGTTGGGGTCAGAGTAGAGGGTAATGGTTTTGAATTTTCTGTCAGAGCCATACAGAGAACGCGTTATGATACTCCAGTGTATACTGTAGAGGGATTAACTATCATTTCACATGATTAAAGTAGGCACTCCCAAGTATTATTCCTGGGTCTCAAGAGTCAAGGGTCTCAATTTATTTGCTCTGGGTGTTATCACACAGTTCACGACTTAAAGATCTCATTCTATTTAGTTATTACTACACATTTCACGCCGTATAATTCTTTTGAAAGTGACGAAATAACTAATAAAAATTTGTTAAATTACAATAATATGGTTATTGACAAAGATACAAAAATTATTCAACTATTAAATTGGAAATGTATGGGACTGTCAAAATTTTAACGCCAAACGGGATCATTACTTGTCTAATCACAAAAAATCCCTTAATAAATTTGTTAAGAAACTTTAGTTACAGTATTGCACGAAACGGAACATTTAAAAACTACAAAACGGCAAAACCCGTATATTGATGAATACAAAGCGTGAAACAAATATAACACCAACAATTTCAATTAATTCTTTTAAAAGCACGTTCGCACCAATTCTTTTTCGTTATATTACTGTTATTGATTGAGTTCAATTAATTCATAGATTAATTATTATTTCTAATGAGACGTCGTCCTCCTTTGGAGGGAGCCTTTGGTTTAATAAAGTGAGCTCTTGAGGCGTGTTTCTGAGGATGTATCATTTCGTAAACATCAACTTCCTTTACTTCTTCACCCTCTGGGACAAATTTAGCTGGTCAGCTTACTTATATTATAATACAATTAAAATACAACTAATTAATTATAATGCAATTAAAATACAATTTTACCTAAGATGATATGGCATATTCGCATTTATAGATGTACCAAATTAAAGACTTTTTGAAATGGTTATATTATAGTATTAATTATTAAGTAGCTAAACTAACTTCAAGTTAATTAGTAAGTAAGTAAGTAAGTAACTATTCAACAACAAGTAAGTAAGTAAGTAACTAATTCAATATAAATAACTAACCGGATATTTCCCGCTTAGCAGCGATTTCAATGTCCATTTTAGCGAGACTGTCGAGGAAACAGGACTTGGTAGAACTGTACATCATTCTCTGTTTCACTGGTACCTTTGGAGTCTATATCAGTGCCATGTATACTATACATTGTATAGGTACCAGTGTGTTCATGCATGGGTAAGAGTATAGATACGATTATAATATATTCTAGTCGTGTATTATAGATCCAGGGTATAATAAATCTTGAATGGATTGTAATGTTAACTATATTAATGATTACTGTATTAATTAATGGCTAATACCGCCGAACCCCCCCCCCCCCCCCCCCCCCCCCCCCCAGGTCAAGATCCTTAACTATCTAGCCATCTCCAAGCCGACCAATCACACAAGATTGCCCAGTTTGATGTATCAAACTTTTGTTTTTATTAGTACCATACGACCAATAATTGGTCGTTCACACGCAAATAATTTCCAATTAGCAAATAAATAGTTTTGTGCCGCGCTAGTTTTTTATGGTCGTATGGCGACTAAACGACCATATTTTAACTATCTAGCAAGTGCCGCGCTAGTTTTTTTTTGGTCGTATGGCGACTGAACGACCATATTTTAAATTTGGCGCCAAATCTAGCTAGTTAAAATTGGTCGCCCGATTTGACCAAATTTACTATATAAATCCGCGATTCTGTAAAAACAAGTTCAGTTGTCATGGTGACGACCAAAACTGGGACAAACAATCCCTCTCCAGCCATAGTGTCTGGTGAATGGTGATAATATAAAGCGGTATTTTAAACTTTAGCATTCAAAATTGTATGGATTCAAGTTGGTTCCTTTAGTCTAGATTCATTTAGAAAATTCTCGAAGTTCGAGTGGTACAGTATTATTAGGGTTTGGCTTAAGGAAGCTTCACATCCGAGACCGATTTTCACAAATCAATTTAATATTGTCGCTACAGCTGTCATTATCCTTTACCATAATTACCTTTTAATTCCCAGGATGTGCTCATGAAATCATCTTGAACAGTGCAAGTGGGAGGGAAGTCCAGCCACATACAGGGAACTCATATGTTCTAGGTGAAGTAAGCTTGGCATCCTAGAATCATCTAAGACTACAGTGCTAGTGTAAACACCAACAGTACTTTATAAGTGCATTTTCAATTTGCTTGCTCCCGCAATGTATTACAACTCACCATTCGGTTTCACAGTTGTTACATTTCACCGGGACGTTGTAGCATTAACAATTAATATCGTTTGCTTACAAGCGACATGTCTAAAGCAAGCTCCAGATTCACAAATCGCACGCAAAATATCAACACAATGCCGAAGTCACTCATAAAGTGACGTATCAAACAGTATGCTGATGTGCCAGAATCGTGGCCCACCAACGAATTAGCGAGTTGGGAGGCATCTGTAGTTGATGGTGGTGGACTATATATAAACTGCTTGAAAAATATATCCTTGCGTTTCAAATAAATCAAAGAATTATCAGAAATTTTTTGAAAATGCAATTTCAAAGTACTGTTTACGCTTGCACTGTTATACTCTAGATGATTCTAGGATACGAAGCTTGCTCCCCTGCAAGTGGCTAGACTCACCTCCCTCTCGGCTCCCTCTGGAGAAACTAATAATACTGACACTTAACCATCGGTATGATATCACTTACTGTGCCAGTTTATCAAACGCACTCACTGCCTAGTAATAATTTTCCGAATGTAATTATGTCTCATTAGTCGTGAAACTGAAGACATGTCGTCTCATTTCGCGACTACCCAATTAACTTGAAGTTTAATTGTTTATGATAGACACACCGAGACCGATATCACTCTCACGAGGCTGAGATTGAGGATGACTTCACTCTAACGAGGCCGAGCCAGCCGAAGGCTGGCGAGGCCGAGTGTGTAAAAACGACCATCAAAAACGCCATAGGCGACCATTTCAAACTAATCTTGACCTGGGCCCCCCCCCCCCCACGCTACTACTACTACTCACACTATATCCAGGACAGGAGTATATAAACACAACCTTCCAGATCTTTTCACCCTCAAAATCGTGATTAAAGTTAAACAAATGGTATCGCGGTTCGTCTTGCGGTATTTTCTCTGATAACTCGGAACCCTGGATGTTTCCGCAGTCCCACAGCTTTAACTCCTCTTTATCTGCAGAAAAGTGTAATTTAGATAATGGAAACAAAACACGTGAACATGAGAAACAGAAAAGAGAAAACGTTCTATCCCCTAATTTGTTGTGTAGCTGTTGTTGTTGTTGTGTGGTTGTTGTTGTATGGTTGAGGAAGCCCTCACAAGTACTCATTGTCAGAGTACTACTCATGATATCATGTCAGGTTTGGGGCCTCGTTAAACCTCACAATACATCATTTATCTGTGCCTGAAACCTCGCTAAACCTCACAATACATCATTTACCTGTGCCTGAAACCTCGCTAAACCTCACTATCCAAATAGGAGGGCCACAGAAGTAGTGACTGTGAGAGCACCAGCGCTATTACATGTGCTAGAAGCTGAAGCGTGACAGGTTTGCACTTCTTCAATGCAAACACCACCCCACAACAAATAGAAGTTACTGTTCAGTTAAAGAACTAAAGTAGTGGCTGATGAATGAGAGATTGTGGAGAATATGATTGATCACTGGTTGTTATCAGTTGCAATATAACATTTTACTGAGCTATCACTGTTTTTATCGATGAATTTATGCTAAGTTACATATAATTACATATAATTTATGCTAAGTTACATATAATTACATATAATTTATGCTAAGTTATATCACCGCTCCCATCCTGTTACCCAACAATAACCCCTAATAATAAAACAATAAACAACAACACTTACCAGTATCAAGTTTAATCTGAAGGTAATTGACGAATCCCTTCTTGAACTTCTCCAGGTTGTTGAGCAGGTCCTGTGTGGCAGGGAGGTTTAGACCGGGGAGGGTGGCACTGTTAGTGGACATCTGGGACCGCATTGCTGCTTCATCTTTCTTCACCTTGTGAAGAGAGTGTTAAAGGAGAGTGTAAAAGGGTAAAAATTGGTGTTACAAAATATTTCTGCAATATTGGGAGCAAATAAGTATGATGAACGATTCAACGTTTTAGCGACTCGATCTCTTGAATGAAAAATAGCAGAATGGGGGGATTGTTTAGGTAGAAACCTCACAACACCTCACAGAACCTCATTACCCTGTGCCTGAAACCTCACATTACCTCACATAACCTCATTACCCTGTGCCTGAAACCTCACATAACCTCACAATTTACCTGAGCCAGCTCTTTCTCAGCCTCTGTCATGGGAGCATTAGAACCAGCTGAGAGCACGTGGTTCTTGTAACCTTGCAGAGATAGTTCTTCTGGTACAGTTCCCATGTACTGAAATATTACAAGAATGTTATCATAAGTAGTGCTATAAAATTAGATATCCATCTAAATGAAAAACTGACAGAAGACAAGGTGCACTTACTGCAGTATATTTGATTATAAAATATCAATATGACCGTTACGTCCAGTATAAAAAGACAGCTAGAATAAATCAGCAGGATCTGGGCAGATTAAATTATTACCCAGTCATTATGCGCTAATTATGCGCTAATTATGCGCTAATTATGCGACAAATTGTAATGCAACAAATACTAACCTCCGTAGAGATTCGGTTATCTCCGAATATGCGTCTGAGGGTGGCCCTGGTGGCAGCGTACAACATCTTATTCTTAACAGATGTATCGTTTGGTACGTAACACATAAACACGTAGTAGAATACCCCGTCACAGTCACTGAGAGTGTAACATGTTACATTTAGACGTTACAGTCACTGAGAGTGTAACATGTTACATTTAGACGTTACAGTCACTGAGAGTGTAACATGTTACATTTAGACGTTACCGTCACTGAGAGTGTAACATGTTACATTTAGACGTTACCGTCACTGAGAGTGTAACATGTTACATTTAGACGTTACAGTCACTGAGAGTGTAACATGTTACATTTAGACGTTACAGTCACTGAGAGTGTAACATGTTACATTTAGACGTTACCGTCACTGAGAGTGTAACATGTTACATTTAGACGTTACAGTCACTGAGAGTGTAACATGTTACATTTAGACGTTACAGTCACTGAGAGTGTAACATGTTACATTTAGACGTTACAGTCACTGAGAGTGTAACATGTTACATTTAGACGTTACAGTCACTGAGAGTGTAACATGTTACATTTAGACGTTACAGTCACTGAGAGTGTAACATGTTACATTTAGACGTTACAGTCACTGAGAGTGTAACATGTTACATTTAGACGTTACAGTCACTGAGAGTGTAACATGTTACATTTAGACGTTACATAAACTGTGACGTTACAATTCGTAACATAAAGGTTACAATTCGTAACATAAAATTCAACGACGTTACAGTAATGTTAAATCAACGTAAAATCAGTTGACTCTGCATTATAAGTTAGATACGTGTAACACTATTGTGATATTATGATTTTTGACATATTACCTTATAACTTGTCCTTACACCAAATCTCGCAACAATACTAGTTGCGGGTGTTATGAATGATAATGTATGAAACATGTGACTACAATACACTGTAAAGAGTTAAATGTGGTTACTTGTATGGGTATTGTGACGAAGTGGAGTCGGGCTTTTTGCGTTTGAACAATCTGCGAATTTGATTTTAAATGAATGTATGAGGTTGTGTACATGTACATTGTTCATATGCATGTGTACATGTGTGCATTTGTACAATGTACTTGTACAGTGTACACGAAATGTACATCGTGGCTGAATAAAAAATGTCAAGAAAAGTGAGGTACAGGTGAAAATAAATTTTATAAATTGAGTGTGAACTACTCACCCTTTTGTTTCTTTGGTTACTCTGCGAATTTTAAGTGAATGAATGATGAAAAGTGGTAACATGTTCACTGTTAAGCTACTTGAAGGGATGAGCGAATGAAATTGAAATGACATTGTATGTAGGAATAATGTTACCAAGTGAGCGTTACATAACGTTACATAGCAAAACAAAGTGTTACATAGCGTTACAAAGTGTTACAACTCACTTTACTTTATCGTCCAGCCGATAGAAGATGTAACAGGGCTCACTGTCTTCAATACAGACCATAACGTTACGGTCCCAGTCTGCCTCGTAGGTACTGGCTGCTATCCTGCAACATTAAACTAACTTAGCTTAGAAACTAGGTACATAATAGAAAGGTAATAAATTTGAGTTTGGGACGAATACATTTTTAGGTTTAGGCATAAATTTGAGGTAAGGACTGAGAATCGGGATTTAAATTAATCCAAGACTGCGATTAAGAAAGACTGCTGTATATAACAGCAGGGTTACATATAACCTTAGAAACACCCTCGTAATAACAACTTAATAACCTGTTCTGTATAAGTTGTAGTTCCTCATCCTCAATAGTAATCTGAATGCACCTGTCAGAGTGGTGTGAGGTGCTGGCTAGGTAGGCAGCCAGGCGTGAGGACGCTACTATTCCTGTCTGACATGACATAGCCTAGGGGGAGTTCTTGGGTTATACTGTTACATTAGGTGTTACATTAGGTGTTACATAAGATGTTACATTAGGTGTTACATTAGGTGTTACGCTAGATGTTACGCTAGATGTTACGCTAGGGTTACGCTAAGCCTAGGGTTACACTAGTGTTTGTGACGGAAATCATAGTAGATTATAAATAATTTATAAAATCTCAAAGAATCGAGTGTGAATTATGTCATAAATTATGTCATATAAATTATGTAGAATAACACATTCTATCTAACCGCAACAAAAATATTATTGGGAAAGCTAGTTCCGATACAAAAGAAAGGCACACATTGAAGTATCAAATAGGAATGACAATAATTTAAAATATTCGAAAATTCTCTGATAAAACCCCTATTCTCTGATAAAACCCCTATATATATCAAGAGTAGCAGTCTAAAAAGCTCATATAAACCCAAACACAGCAAACTACAAAACTTGTCCACGCTGTCCAGTTGTGTTCCCAAACACTACAAGGAAACTAATGTCACCACTTAAGTAACAGCTACAATGTCACCACTATGTCTCTACAGTTTCAATAGTACTTCTCCCTAGCAATATCTCTCTCACTAACACCATATTTTTAACACTCTCTCTCTAGCACTAACATCCTCACTAACACTCTCCCTCTAGCACTAACATCCTCACTAACATTCTCTCAGGTATCACACCAACCCTGGCTGATATAACATGACACCACACTAAGTGTTATACAATACATTCCTCACGCTCTACATTCTACACATACCACAGATGGTGTTGCAGCGGCGCGGGGTGAAGACAGCCCCCTTTGTAACGGAGATTGGAGGCACATGATTGGACCACATAAGTCGGTATATGAAGCACATATTTCACTGTAAGTCACTGTAAGTCACTGTAAATCACTGTAAGTCACTGTCACTTCTTGCGGTCTATTCACCTCTATTTCAAGGTGTGTGTAAAATCTTGATATCGTATCTAAAAAGGCTGGTGTGATTTTTTATTCGCAAAGCCAAAAAATCACATTTTCTCCCATAACTTCAAAGGGAAGCATTTTAGGGTGTTTGTTGTTCATAACTTATATATAAATTGCTAGTTGCGGTTATTTTGCGCTCTTCAAAAAGTCACTAGCACATTCCTATCAAAATTTTAGAAAAATCAGTAAATATGTAAAACGAAAAATGTGCCAAAATTTGTTGTTTTGCTTTGAGGTCCAATAGATCTGAAGATAAATGAGTAAAAACATTTTTGAGGGCATCAAAAACTGCGCCAGAATTAAGAGAACAATGTCATGTCAAGCATCAAATCAATCCGATCTTCCCTGACTAACTTTTTCGTTAAAATAAGTCTGAAAAGGAAAATTTCAGCTTTTTGACTTTTTTTGACTTTAAAAATTTATAACACACCAGCCTTTTTAGATACGATATCAAGATTTTACACACACCTTGGAATAGATGTGAATAGACGGCGAGCAAAATTTCAACCCGATACTGCAAGAAATAATTAACTTATAGCCTCTCCACGAAACAAATTGTGTTTTTCCGAAAATTCCACTCTAACCAGTAAATGCTCGATTACGAAAATAAGTATTCTCAAAATAATTTTTTTAAATGTGGAAACGGTGCGCTAGATGGTCACCGAACTGCCTATGAGGGTTTTGGTGTATGCCCCTTAATACTGCAAACAACCGCGTTGTACAGCCACATTTCTTATCACATATATTGGCAGTTCGACAAACTGCCCGGTCAGGATAAGTTACCGGGTCATTGGGCAATTCTTACATGCTAGTGTCACGAATAGGCACATTTTGCAGATCACGAGGCTCAAGAGAAGCAATAAAATCCACATTCTTACGATCTGACCAACATTCTTCAAATACTGAAACTTCATAATAAAATGGGAGAACTTACTTCTCTCGACAACTATCTGTCCCCCATCTGTGGTGAATGTTAACCTTATCTTTTGACACAGCAAAAAGTCTGTTATCAGCGCAACATGTGACAATATCGAAATGTTAATAATGTTAACAAAGTTAACAATGTTAACAATATTAACAATGTTAACAATGTTAACAATGTTCCTATCAGCTGTGGCCAATGCTGATAGCCTCGTTAACCTTATCTTTAAACCCATCACAAGGTCCGTCAAGTAATCTGTTATCAGCACAACACAAGATAAGAGAATCCAGAACATTCTGACATTTGTCTATATTGTAGTGGTGTCCGGCCAGACAGGCTTGTAGGGAACACGCCCACTTTTGACAGAGGTGCTTTTTACGGTCCATATTAGGCTATAGATATGTTAATTGTGTGTTAAATGTGCTGGATAGTATATGTTAAATACCTTACTCGGGAATATTATAGCGGGTTAATTTATGACTGGGAAAATTAATGACCGGGAAAAATATGGCGGAATTTTCCAAAACCCACCAAGCATCAAAATGTATTACTATTAGTTTACCTTACTCGGGAACATTATAGCGGGTTAATTTATGACTGGGAAAATTAATGACCGGGAAAAATATGGCGGAATTTTCCAAAACCCATCACTTTATCCCAGTCATAATATTCCCGAGTAAGGTATGTTAACAATTTAAAAATAAATAGCCAAATGGGGCGATGTTTGAAAGTAGCTCTTCCCAACTGAGTAGTGAGTATTCATATTGGTCACTCTCAGAACGTGAGGAAACCGAACATTTCGATAGTACTACACACAATGTTCAAACTATTTAAACTATGTAAACCCTGTCAACACTTATAAAAAACGGTAACAATAATGTCAAGAGATAAAGCACGTGCAAGCAACCAGACTACCAGAGTTCAGGAACAATAAATAATAATAATAAACAATCATAATGATTTCCTAGTGATTACATACACCGTTGGTACTGAGTTAGGGCTACACCCTTTTCTATGTAAAGAACATACACTACACGAACAGTCTAACAACACTGTCAACAGATAACTGCTAAAACACACACACACACACACACACACACACACACACACACACACACACACACACACACACACACACACACACACACACACACACACACACACACACACACACACACACACACACACACACACACACACACACACACACACACACACACACACACACACACACACACACACACACACACACACACACACACACACACACACACACACACACACACACACACACACACACACACACACACACACACACACACACACACACACACACACACACACACACACACACACACACACACACACACACACACACACACACACACACACACACACACACACACACACACACACACACACACACACACACACACACACACACACACACACACACACAACACTGAACAGCAGAAACAGAGACGCAGTATTACAACACATCGAATACAACAGGTAACATGTACAGTGCAGTGTAGCAATGAGTTGCGGCTCAGCGGCTTAAATTACTTCCTATTATTATCTAGTACTATCGTGTTACGTAATTACATTGCAAGTGCTTCTAAAGACTAGACTCTAGTGTGCTTCTAGACTCTAGTGTGCTTCTAGACTCTAGAGTGCTTCTAGACTCTAGAGTGCTTCTAGACTCTAGAGTGCTTCTAGACTCTAGTGTGCTTCTAGACTCTAGTGTGCTTCTAGACTCTAGAGTGCTTCTAGACTCTAGAGTGCTTCTAGACTCTAGAGTGCTTCTAGACTCTAGTGTGCTTCTAGACTCTAGTGTGCTTCTAGACTCTAGTGTGCTTCTAGACTCTAGTGTGCTTCTAGGCTCTAGAGTGCTTCTAGACTCTAGTGTGCTTCTAGACTCTAGTGTGCTTCTAGGCTCTAGAGTGCTTCTAGACTCTAGTGTGCTTCTAGACTCTAGTGTGCTTCTAGAGTCTAGTGTGCTTCTAGACTCTAGTGTGCTTCTAGCCTCTAGTGTGCTGCTAGACTCTAGTGTGCTTCTAGAATCTAGAGTGGTTCTAGACTCTAGTGTACTTCTAGACTCTAGTGTGCTTCTAGACTCTAGTGTGCTTCTAGACTCTAGTGTGCTTCTAGACTCTAGTGTGCTTCTAGAATCTAGAGTGCTTCTAGACTCTAGTGTGCTTCTAGAATCTAGAGTGGTTCTAGACTCTAGTGTACTTCTAGACTCTAGTGTGCTTCTAGACTCTAGTGTGCTTCTAGACTCTAGTGTGCTTCTAGACTCTAGAGTGCTTCTAGACTCTAGTGTGCTTCTAGACTCTAGTGTGCTTCTAGACTCTAGTGTGCTTCTAGAATCTAGAGTGGTTCTAGACTCTAGTGTACTTCTAGACTCTAGTGTGCTTCAAGACTCTAGTGTGCTTCTAGACTCTAGTGTGCTTCTCGACTCTAGAGTGTTTCAATTGTGCTACTAAAGTCTCAAGTGCTTAATGAGTGCTTCTAGAATGCTTTGTGAGTGGTTTTTGAGTGCTTCTGCGGATTGCGTCACGATTTCTTCTTTTTTACTAACAGTAAAGGAATGTAACTACAGCAAAACTTCTATTGCCGGAATAATTATTAAAAATACAATATTACAACTAATATCTGGATTCTGGCACTTGACACGATTCCTTTAGTCCGGTAATAAATTAGTCCGGTACAATTGTGGTCTGGGATTTGAAGTTTCACTGTATTTTGTAAAACAATGTAAATACATTCTAATGTACCAATGTAAAACATTGTAATCAAACCATTTTAAATAGAAAGTTAATATAAACCAATACAATAAAGGAATAAAGGTCTGCAGCTGAAGTAGCCAGCGTCTTCATAAATATGTTAATATACACGCACACTACTTATTTGGTGATTAGCAATTACAATACGCATTAAAGAATTTACTGCATGTCACGTGATTGTAAATGCATAATATTATGAATTATGAATAATGCTTGATTGACGTCACGAGACACAGCTATTTACCTGTAATCCTGTAAAAGTTATCATATTTACCGAATTATCTCCAGAAACACAACGATAGTGTGCCAAAAATATGCAATGTACAAAAATATGCGATGTACAATACATTTTAGAAGCTGCTAAAAGTGTTGAGCGTTCAATTATCGAGTACAATTTGGAGTGTGTACTGTGTAGAGCTGAAAAGTCTTATTTCTGGTGAGCTTTTATCTCTTTCTTTGTAAGCGAGCGAAAATAAGAATAAAGAGGTCAGTGATGAACAAATATGCAAATAAGTTTAAAGGTTAAAACTGTAAAATCCTATAAAAACTGCCCGAAAAGGAAACCCACCATATTACACAAAGTACAAACTAATACATCTGAAGCTGAGGTAAGTCCAACGTTGCTATATTTGATACGCATGTTCTGTGTTGGTATTATGCACGGAACATGCGTATCAAACACGTCCCATTTCATGTACAATCCTTCCTGAACAGCAATATTAGACACCATCTGATATATCAGCAGCTAATCAGTTAATATATTAGCAGCCACATTGGAGATCATATCACCAAGGCTTCAGTTTCGTTAAAAGTCCCATCAATTGTGTGAGTAGATTGCTCCTCTTCTTCAAATATTTTCTTGCCTTTTACAATTTACAACCGTTGCTCTCTCCTCTTCTTCCCTTGCATCTTTTACTTCATTTTCATTAATTTCTTCATCTATTTCAGCAATTGCTTTGCCAGTTAAAACTTCTTTTCTTTCTAAATCTCCTCCTTCCTCAGTATTTCCTTCTTCATCCTCCTCTTCAGAAAGATCTCCGTAAGCCTCGCAAACCTCCATCTCTCTAAACAAGCTAGAAGCACCAGGAAAAGGGTAAGAAGCTCCAGAGAAGGGGTGAGAGGGGAAGGGTAAGGACATAGGGTTGAAGCCTATTCTCAGAGGGGTCTGTTCAGAATGTTCTGGAAGTTCTGTGTCCGATCCGTCCTCTGATCTGTTCTCATACATCTCCTGAAATTTTGAGGGTAGATCAGACTTTTGAGAAATTTTTCATTACACTGAACAAGACCAACAAGTCAAAATCCAAAAGGGTATTATCTTATAAGGTTGAGGGATTCCAATCAATTTGAATTCAATAACTATTATTCAGTAAAATATGTTATAGAAACTGCTAACACATTAAATAGAAAACCAACCTTGAGGTCCAACTTGGTAGGGTTCAACAACCCTGTCTGCTTAAACTCCTGGTAATCATCTTCATACAGACATGTCGGGTTATTATCAATAACATGCTTCAACTCCGCTAACATCAGTTTACTCTCCTGCTTATGACGGTGCATGTTCAGCTCCAACTCATCATCAGAATCCAGACCACCAACATCAAGTCCTGCTGAATCTGTACCGTCGTTAACAGCAGTGAATACCATGTTGCCAAGCTGTTTGTATGGTATGATAGGGATGCTTTCCCTCCCTTCTCCTTCCTCTAGAGTCTGATCTGTTTCTGCGCGCTGTAGTGGTGCGTGTGTGGGGGCGCTGCTTTTAGTTAGTGAGGAGAGGGTTTGTAATGTGGCGTCAGCAAGGTCCACGTTCAGTTTTATCAAGCTCAGAGTTGAGACAAGGTCGGTAACGCCTTCTTGTGACAGGAGTGATTGAGCATCCCGACAGCGAATAGTAGCAATGTTAAGAGATGAGTGTAGGAGCCGGAGCTGGTGTGAGAGGTGTGAAGCGCTAGTTTCTCCCAGCACTTCAGCGGGTGCTAACACTGCATTTTCTATACCAGGGTTATTGTGCTTCTCGTAAAACCTCCTCAACTCACTACAGCGTGCAGAGACCATCTCTTGTAAGCTGTGGAGCACTGTCAGCATTGAGTTAACTTGTTTGTTGTTGAGTCTGACTTCCGGCCATGAACCAGGGAACGTGCTAACACTAAACCTCCACAATACTTCAGATGACATGTGCTCAACCAACTTCAGATGATACCTCAGGGTATGGCTGGAGAACTCCATATCTGATGATATCACCTCGTTTTCTGATAATATTTCCAGATGGTCCTGCAGACAAATGTACCTGTTAACACAGTCAATCTCACTGATAAGCGGAGAGGTTTCCAACCACCCCTCTATTGTTTTCTTCTGTTCCACGAACACTGATCTCAAGGAATCAAACAGTTTCCGGCGCATGGTAGCACTTTGCAGTCCCTCACTGCATTGTTGCTCGATGTTATCCAGCTTAGACCAGGTCACGCCTGTTGCGTAGGGAGTGCGCGCAATCTGGCAATCACGCAAGTAAGATAACATCACCTTACTGAGCAGTTTGTACTTTCTGAAGGAGTCCACATATTGAGATATGATATAGTTTGGTGATTTGTGGTTACCTCTCTGATGGTTACTCCAATAACAGTACATGGTTCCACACAACACTGCAGCTATAACAGTGTTTACTAACATGTTTGAGAAGTTGGTTACAATCCCTACTAAGAGAACAGAAGTAACGACAACCAAGTAAAAGATGGTAGAAACAAAACTGATAGGAATCCCAGGGGGATCACGAGGGGGAATGTTGCTGATAACACCAGAGTTGGTAAGATCCTCTAGTGAGTCTCTGTGGTGAGCCAGTAAGTGTGGCTCTATTTCCTCACGTAGATCTGATAGATTGAGATCAGATTGTGTGCTCAGTGCACTGTACATGAGAAGCACATAGCTGCAAACTCTACACACAACCGTCCGTGCAAGTGATTTACTGTTACTCAGAATTAACTGCAGTGTATTTGTTGTAGGTGCTGTTTGCGTGGGGTCGTCCTGTGGCGCAGCAGTACGTGTAATTGTCTGGGTGTCATCCCAGCCTATCTCTTGAAGGTACTGGTGTAGCGGTGAGTTCTCTAGGATAAGTTCTCCATCACACATTACATCCTGTGATAATCACACATTACATCCTGTGATAATCACACGTTACATCCTGTGATAATCACACATTACATCCTGTGATAATCACACATTACATCCTGTGATAATCACACATTACATCCTGTGATAATCACACATTACATCCTGTGATAATCACACGTTACATCCTGTGATAATCACACATTACATCCTGTGATAATCACACATTACATCCTGTGATAATCACACATTACATCCTGTGATAATCACACATTACATCCTGTGATAATCACACGTTACATCCTGTGATAATCACACATTACATCCTGTGATAATCACACGTTACATCCTGTGATAATCACACGTTACATCCTGTGATAATCACACATTACATCCTGTGATAATCACACATTACATCCTGTGATAATCACACGTTACATCCTGTGATAATCACACATTACATCCTGTGATAATCACACATTACATCCTGTGATAATCACACGTTACATCCTGTGATAATCACACATTACATCCTGTGATAATCACACGTTACATCCTGTGATAATCACACATTACATCCTGTGATAATCACACATTACATCCTGTGATAATCACACATTACATCCTGTGATAATCACACGTTACATCCTACTGGGTATATATTGCCCATCTAACTAAACACCTTTTTATTCAGATGGGGGCAATATTTTGTACGATTCTATTTTATATTCATTTATTACTGTACTCTGTAAAATTTGAAAAGTATTTAATAAAATATAACATATTATTATCATATTACACGACTATCAGCCAAGGTGCATGGGTTTGTGGGTAATGTGTGTGTTAGTTGAGTGACTTACAGCTGTAATTTAAATAAGTTGTTATCTCAAATTATACCAGCTTCAATGAGACACCATTATAACATAATTATAACGTTATTACATGTATAATATTCAAAGATAACAAAACTTTGTTCTTTATCATTCTCAACCAACATCCTGGCGCCAAATCAACTCAATTAATCGTAATTTTAACATTCCATGGGTTGCGTTGCTACAATCTGTAATGATCTTGTACGATGTTCATTGTTCCTTCATGCCAGGTGCTGCTCACTTTTCCCAAGTGTATTAGATACAGTAACACGATACTTTATTACAACCCACAATATTCGTCCATTAGATTCCACACTTAATCACGTCTCTAAAATTAGCCGGAAATCTGATAAAGTGTGATACTGGGGTACCTTAAGTAACCAAAAGTAACCAAAAGTAACCAAAAGTAACCAAAAGTAACCAAAAGTAACCAAAAGTAACCAAAAGTAACCAAAAGTAACCAAAAGTAACCTAAACAGCGTAAACGTGCTAAAGTTCACAGCGTATTTTGTTGTTGTGATACAGCCCACACCGCTCAAATGTATAAATCATATACCTTACTCGGGAATATTATGACTGGGATAAAGTGGTGGGTTTTGGAAAATTCCGCCATATTTTTCCCGGTCATTAATTTTCCCAGTCATAAATTAACCCGCTATAATGTTCCCGAGTAAGGTAAACTAATAGTAATACATTTTGATGCTTGGTGGGTTTTGGAAAATTCCGCCATATTTTTCCCGGTCATTAATTTTCCAAGTCATAAATTAACCCGCTATAATATTCCCGAGTAAGTATTATACTTGTCACATAATGTTGTTGTGATACAGCCCACCCCTCAAGCGTATAGATAATGTATTATACTTGTAACTTGTGTGTCTTCAGAGCTAATAAAACCATTTATAACATTAATTATAATAAGATACTGGTTAGTGGTGGGGAGGTGAACTGGTTTAGACACGTGACAGTGATTCAGTGTTTTGATTGGTTAATACTGACTGCTGATTGGTCAATACTAACAGCTGATTGGTTAATAATGACTGCTGATTGGTTAATAATGACTGCTGATTGGTCAATACTGACAGCTGATTGTATAACATGTCAACACCAGAGATCTACATTCTACACCACAATCCTGTGTAATCGGACAGAAACCTTTACTGACAGAACCACCTACAATAATTTAGACCGTATTTGAGCTTTTCACCAACTTTATTCTTTCATTCTCACCCCTAATAAGGGATAACCAGACTAATCTGAGTATAATAAGGGTACTACAAGTTGAGCTCCGTATAAATTGAATAATATACTGTATTATACGCTATAATAAAGGTACTACAAGACGTTGAGCTCCGTAAAAAACAAAGAATATACTGTATTATACTCTATTGGGGCTGACTGTGGGGAGCAATAGGACAGATTGTTTGTTTCAGAATTTGTTTTTAAATCGCCCTAATTAGTGCAAGTGGGACCTTATCAACGGGGCCTAATTAGTGGGATCCTTGGAAGGATAACATCATTCTTAAAACGTTAAACGGTCCACAACTTTTACCATTGAACGTAATGTATAACGCTTTAGCGAGCCTTTGGCCTAATAATATTAATCTATAACGTTTAATCAATGCCTTCAAGACCCTGATAATGTGTAACGTTTTATTTAAACACAATGAGTAATGTTTAACATTTAAAATAGTGTGTTTAATGCGGTCAATGACTATTGTAATACCCAGCTTATAATTAAGACACCAGCAGGTTTAATAGATTGTGTGTAACGTAATAGTATTCTGTGTAGGTAATAATATATAATGCGTGTATATTATGTGTATATTATGTGTATATTATGTGTATATCATGTATATATTATAAAGTGGAGCGTATTGGAGCGGAGAATATTATAATATTATGTATACTTGTGTGTATTAATTGTACGGCTTCACAACTCAGCCTGTAACGAACACTGTACTTTTTACAATTATGTTTTAACATATTGGAGATGTTAACAGAATATTACAGCCAGTACACAATATATAACTATACAATATCGTGTATTGTATTATACATAACTCTTCACATAGTACACTCGTAACACTACACTCGGTAATACATCAAACAGTAATATCAGTACACATGTATTACACAATAGATCATGATTCATGTATAACATTTCCCCTCACAGCGTGCCTGCGTGCGAGCACTAGTAAGGCTTCTCAGTCATAGTATTCAGTATATTATTATGAGTAGTTGTATTACATTACACATTACACAATTACTGTTAATATGATTGAAGTATAAAGTATTTGATTAATATTTAATACAGTACATTCTGTGCACTGAATACATCACAAACTTGCAGTGTATACATTTGCATTACACACTGTACACTAAATACATTATACACACTGCACACTCAATACATTACACACCGTACACTGAATACATAATGCACACTACACACTCAATACATTACACACTGCACACTCAATACATTACACACCGTACACTGAATACATTATACACACTGCACACTCAATACATTACACACCGTAAAGTGGCAATACTCGACGTAGTCCTGATCATGTGTTAACACACCCTTGGGGGGGGGGGGGGGTCCAACCCGATTTTTCCGATCAATTCCGATCCCGATTTTGGCCTCATCAACCCTCATATCGGAAAAATCGGGAAAATTTAAATCTTCCCTCTGCGGTTTCTAGGCGATATAGGTAGCTATTTCTGTACTTAAATATGACAAGAAATCGATTGGTGGTGGTCCCAGAACCCCAAAATGGTATCTTGTTCCAAACAAGAATCGTTTCGTCCGAAAAACAACACACTGTCGTATCAACTCTTGTTTGACAGAAACATCCACCCTGGTCCACAATTGAAAGACTGAGGAAGAGGAGGACTTGGGGAGGACTGAGGAGGAGGAGGACTGAGGAGGATGATGAGGAGGAGGACTGAGGATGAGGAGGAGGAGAAGGAGGACTGGGGGAGGACTGATGAGGAGGAGGAGGACTTAGGAGTAGGAGGAGAAGGAGGAAAAGGAGGAAAAGGATGAGAAGGAGGAGGAGGACTGAGGAGGAGGAGGATGACTTAGGCTAGGAGTAGGAGGAGAAGAAGGAGAAGGAGGACTGACGAGGAGGGGGACTGACGAGGAGGAGAAGGACTGCGGAGGAGGAGGAGGACTGACGAGTAGGAGGAGGAGGAGGACTGAGGAGGAACAAGATGAGGACTGAAGAGGATGAGGAGGATGAGAAGAAGGACTGGGGGAGGACTGAGGAAGAGGAGGACGAGGACTAAGATCGAGGACTAGGAGGATGAGGACAAGGGCTAATGAAGAGGAGGAGGACGACTGAGGAGGAGGACTGATTAGGAGGAGAAGGAGGAGGAGGATGAGGAGGAGGACTGAGGAGGAGGAGGATAAGGAGGAGAATGATGAGGAGGAGGAGGAGGATGACTCAGGAGGAGGACTCAGGAGGTGGAGGAGGACGAGGAGGAGTCTTGGGGAGGAGGATGAGGAGACTGATGAGGACGAGGAGGACTGAGGAGGAAGACTGAGGAGGATGAGGACGAGGACTAAGATCGAGGACTAGGAGGATGAGGACAAGGACTAATGAAGAGGAGGAGGACGACTGAGGAGGAGGACTGATTAGGAGGAGAAGGAGGAGGAGGATGAGGAGGAGGACTGAGGAGGAGGAGGATAAGGAGGAGAATGATGAGGAGGAGGAGGAGGATGACTCAGGAGGAGGACTCAGGAGGTGGAGGAGGACGAGGAGGAGTCTTCAGGAGGAAGACTGAAGAGGAGGAGGAGGACTGATGAGGAGGAGGAGGAAGAGGACTAAGAGGACGCGAGGACTAAGGACGAAGAGGACTGAGGAGGAGGACGAGAGCGAGGACGATGAGGAGGACTGAGGAGGAGGACTGATCAGAAGGAGAAGGAGAAGGAGGAGGAGGAGGACTGAGGAGGAGGACTGAGGATGAGGAGAAGGAGGACTGGGGGAGGACTGAGGAAGAGGAGGACTTGGGAAGGACTGAGGAGGAGGAAGACTGGGGTAGGACTGGGGAGGAGGAGGAGGAGGAGGACTGAGGATGAGGAGGAGGAGGTCTGAGGATGAGGAGGAGGAGAAGGAGGACTGGGAAGGACTGAGGAAGAGGAGGACTTGGTGAGGACTGAGGAGGAGGAGGACTGGAGTAGGACTGAGGAGGATGATGAGGAGGATCAGGAGGACTGAGGATGAGAAGGAGGAGAAGGAGG